GACCGTAGCAAGTTCTGACAAAAATCATTTAATCGAACATAAAAGCTCATGCAGTTCTGAGGAAGGGTCACCGTACCCGAAATGTTAACTCTGTTTTTCCTTAACAGATGCTGCCAGACCTGCTGAGCTTTTCCAGCAACTTTGTTTTTGTTATAAAAGCTCATGGTGTGTGGGGTATCATGTTGACACTGGCTGGCTAACAGCAAATAGAAAGTACCCATAAATGAGTCAATTTGCGATTGAGAAGATGCAACAAGTGGTGTGCCATAGGGATAATTTCTGCTGCCTCAATTTTTTTTCACAATTTATAGACGTGACTTGGATGAAGAGACACAAGCTGTATTTGCAAAGGTTTCCGATGATACAGAGATAGATAGAAAAGTATGTTGGAAAGATGACATAAGGAAGATCCAAAAAGGCACAGTTAGGTTATGTGAATAGGAAAGAGATCTGGGAAATAGAGTATAATGTGGGGAAATGTACCATTTTGGCAGGAAGAATAAAAAAGAAGCACGTTATCTAAACGGTGAAAGATTGTAGGCTCGTGATGCAGAGGGACCTGGATGACCTAATCCATGATCCTCATTACGCAAGTACACCCAATTCTTCGGAGAGCAAAAATAATGATATTGTTTATGGAGAGGGGAATTGAACGCAGAAGTAAGGGGGGAACAGTTCTTCAATTATACGGTTCATTGGTGAGGCCACATCTGGGGCATTGTATGTAGCTTCCTGAATGCTTATCCACCATGCAGCCGTTCTGAGGCTTGGAAACTATCATAACAGCTCAGCGAATGGTGGTGGAATTGGAGACGAGCTAACAGAGGAGGAAGAAGGTGGGATCAGCATTGTTACCTTGGAGCTCACGATGACAAAATTTCAGCTTACCATCCTTCTTGCTGTCCCCAGCCTTCATTTGGAGAAGCCTTAGAGTACCAGTAGTGGCCTGCTTTTTTAAGGAGGGATATAAATGCACTGGGAAACAGTCCAGGGAATGTTTACTAGGCTAATACCTGGGATAGATGGATCATCTTATCAGGAAAGGTTAGGCTGATTAAACTTTGCATCTACTGGAGATGACAAGGTTAACATAGAACATAGAACAGTACAGCACATTACAGGCCCTTCGGCCCACAATGTTGTGCCGAACTTTTACCCTAAACCTAAGGTCTATGTAACCTCCACCCCTACCTTATACTATCATCCATATGCCTATCTAATAGCCACTTAAATGTCCCTAATGAGGCCGACTTCACTACCCTCTCCAGCAATGCATTCCGTGGCCCGACCACTCTCTGAGTAAAGAACCTACCTCTGACGTCTCCCCTTTCTCTACTTCCACTCACTTTAAAACTATGCGCCTTTGAAATAGCTACCTCCACTCTAGGAAAAAGTCTCTGGCTGTCCACTCTATCTATACCTCTGATCAATTTGTACACCTCTATCAAGTCACCTCTCATCTTTTGTCGTTCTAAAGAGAAAAGCCCTCGCTCTCTCAACCTTTTCTTGTAAGACCTTCTCTCCATTCTAGGCAACATCCTGGTAAATCTCCTCCGCACCTTTTCCAACGTTTCCACATCTTTCCTGTAATGAGGCGACCAGAACTGGGCACAATACTCCAGATGTGGCCGAACCAGTCTTTTGTACAGCTGAAGCATAACTTCACGGCTCTTGAACTCAATCTCTCTATTAATGAAAGCTAACACGCCATAGGCCTTCTTAACAACTCTATCCACCTGGGTGGCAGAATTCAGGGAATTGTGGACATGAACCCCGAGATCCCTCTGCTCTTCCACACTGCCAAGAATCTTTCTTTTAACCCTGTATTCTGCTTTCAAGTTTGTCCTTCCAAAATGAATCACCTTACACTTTTCAGGGTTAAACTCCATCTGCCACTTTTCAGCCAAGCTCTGCATCCTATCAATGTCCCTTTGTAACCCAGAACAGTCCTCCCCACTGTCCACAACTCAACCCACCTTCGTATCATTAAGGGAATTGATTAAAACATATAAGGTCCTGAGGCACTTTGATAGGTCGCATGCAAAGAAGATGCTTTCTCTTATGGGACAAGAGGTCGCAGTTTAAAAATGAGAGGCATCTTGTTAAAGACAGCAAGAAAAAGATTGTTTTCTTTCTCACCGAGAGCAGTAAATCTTTGGAAATCCATTCCTGAGTAAGTAGTGGAAGCAGATCGATACTTTTAAAGATGTATAGATTCTTGATAAATAAGTGGGGGGAAGCTATCGGGGAATACTCAGAGGGAGGGTGTTAAATTAGGGGGCCAAATGCTCTGGAACAAGTCAGTGATTCTGGCTATGCCCGAGTGTGGCATCACCAGACCAGTCGTGATTTTATTATATGATGAGATGGATTCAAGGGGCCAAGTGCCCTATTCATGCTCCTAATTCAAACGATTGTGCGTTCATATCTTCTTGACACTTAATGCAAGTATAACCTGAAGAAATTACCCACTTGAGAACTGATGCAGTACACCAGCCACCCAATCTGACCCTGATGAGTCATTTGGAGCAATTGACTCTCTGTGCCTCCCAGCTTGTGCATTGCAGAGAGCAAGCAGCTTTATCTGCATTAAGATTGTGTGGATTCTAGTTGATCTCCCCACCATGGGTGCAGGGATTTTAGTAACACAGGGGTTTACTGCAGTCCCTGGAAATGACAGAACTGCCCAATATCTTGAAACGACACGGTTCATCGATAGTGTATTTATTTAATGTAATTTCATCTCCCGTAAATGGCAAGAAGGAAATCGTCCTTTCACATTACAGCAGCCAAAGTGAGTTTTTATCAGTCTGAAGAGCGCTTGACAGAATGGATCAGTTTATCAAAACAAAGCATTACTCATCCCAGCTGCCTGCTTAAGCACCTCCCTGAGGGTCTGCAGTTCAAACTGTTATTTTTATCTGTGTCCTCAGAGATATGGAAGATAAATCTCTGTCGCTCATCCTCCTCCCACTTTTAAGTTTCTGCTCTTTCTCCTGAACTCAAGGCCGCTCGTGTGTCTGGCATTAAGTCCAAGGCACTTGCAAACCTGGACCTGCTCCCACTGTATTGATTCTGAACAGGCTCCCAATCGCTTTGGAACTTGAAGCTCTGAATGTAAAACTTCAATACACAGTCTGTTTGCGTACCAACGTTGGTATTCAAAGTGAATTATTCCTTTTCCTACTTGCTATAACATAATTCACTGTTCTTTCAGCTTTCTAAACTCTGGAATTCCATCTTAAACTTCCCTATCCTTTCTTAAATCCTCCCTCTTTTCTCTCCGAGTGTATCCTCTTGCGGCTCAGTGTCAAAATTTGACATTGCTCTTGCCCCTTATTGATTAAAGATGCTATATAACTGCAAGGTGTTGTTAAGCGTGCATATGATAAAGAACTTCCAACAGAAGTTGGAGATCAAAGATTGAAGTGATGGCTAAGGGGTGGCATGGTGGCTCAGTGGTTAGCACTGCTTCCTCATAGCACCAGGGGCCCAGGTTCAATTCTCAGCCTTGAGTGACTGTCTGTGCGCAATTTGTACATTCTCCCCATATCTGTGTGGGTCTGCTCTGTTTTTCCTCCCCCAGTCCAAAGATGTAGAGACCAGGTGGATTGGCCATGGGGAATTGCCTGTAATATGCAGGTTAGGGTGGATTGGCCAAGCTAAATTGCCCGTAGTGTTCAGGGATGTGTAGATTAAGTGGGTTGTTGGGAGATGGGTCCGGGTGGGATATCTGAGAGTTGGTGTGGATTTGTTGGGCCTGTTTCCACACTGTAGGGATTTTATGATGTACAGATCCTTAATTAAGGGATAAGAGATCCTGAGCCATTCCACAATGGGTAAGAATAACAAAGATATTGTTTTAGGAGGTATTAATTTGCCAATCACTGATTGGAACAGAGAAGGAATAAATGGACAGATGTGATCAACTCTAATGAGTTGCCTCAGCTCAGCGGTCTCTTAAAAACATACAATCTCTGACTTTATTTCTCTCCTGGCCCTTGCAGCAATAAAGTGACATTTCCGCGTGTTTATGGCCCTTGTAAATGAGACCAACTCCAACTGTTGTATTATTTCAAGGTCACAATGATGTTGTGGAACTGGGCCCATTGGAAGACTAAATTACAACTGCCCCAATCCAATTCATTCAGCACATGCAATGAGCTTCAGAATGGGGAAACATTTCTGTTTTGTGTTTGATGCTGGATTTACGCCCAATTTTACAGATAAGAGGACGTGGTATTACAAATCCTCAGTTGGTCGTTGCACATGATGGCTCCTTTATGATTTGGCTGATGTGTATTGGGCGGAGCGCTCCCAGGCCCTGAGTGACATGGGCCAGAGTGTGAAATTTGGAAAAAATTAGGTGAGATGTCAAGTGTGACCCTTCTCAATGTCGAGGTTAAAAAAGTTGCATTTTCCAGCTAACTCCCAGATATCCATTCGCTTGTGAGCAGCGAAAGGCTGATAAACATAGATTATTACTCTTTATCAACCTTACTACTAGAGTTAGATTTTTTTTTCAGATTTAGACCTTATTGTCATGTGTCCTCAGGTATAAAAGCACAGGAGGACAGTGAAATGTTTTCAATGTTGCCACACGCAATGCCAACTTAGGTACAAGTGCCTAGGTACAAAAATGTAAGAACAAGGTAGAAAGAAATGAGGAACAATGTTAAAAGTTAAACATGCAGTCCTTCTTAGTAATAGGTTGAAAAAGAAAGAAGTAAAGCTGAAAGTTCAAGCATTGCAGACTTTTTCATAAGTGCTTAGGGATGCTGGGAGCATACAAGGGCTTAATCTCCTCCGCTCTGGCGTGCTTTCCCCAAGCTGGCTCAATCCCTTTCCTTTTCTCGTTGTTGCTGCAGATGTCAGGGAGAAACCTCCAGTGCTACATTGGATCTCAGACTGTCAAAATCCCAAGCCTTGGCTTCACCCTCGGCCCACGCCCCGGTCCTCCATCTCGCCTTCTCCCCGCGCTCCGGCCTTTGGGAACTCACTGAGAGTCCCGGGTCCGGCTCCCAGCCGCTGCCTCACGCTGGACCTCCAGCTGACCGCCCGACAGAGCGAACCCGATACCACCGCCAGCCTCTCTCCGGGAGGTAAGCTAGTCGAAAAAAAAACTGAAAAGAAACTGAAACTAAAAAGAAGAAAAACAAAAGCGAGAGAAGAAGATAAAAGGAAAGGAAGAAGCAGAGAGGACCGAGTGGACGAGCCTACCCAGTTGCTATGTTGCTGGAGATTTTTATTACCCTCATTACTACACACTCATTGATATACAACCTCCCTTTCTCCCAAATGCCAGCTAGAAACCTGAGGCCAGGAATTCCCAATAGAAAGTCAGAGCGGTACCTAGTGACTCCACTTCCTCCTCTGGACTTCCATCTCAGGCACCTGCCACTGGTTTACCACTCTCAACATTGTAAGCAGAATTTGCCCTCAATGGCTCTCATCCATCTCATCCCTCTGAGCTACCAACCCTTCCTACATGCCCTACTCCCTCACTCAGGGCAGCTCACCAGCCTGCCTGGTTCAGGATGGAGTAGCCCTTTTGCTGGTCACAGTCCTCCTTGACTGTTCCATCGCTGCCAAACATGACAAGCTGCCTGGCTATCCAGCTGCACTAAAAGGCAAGGAAGAGATGCTCTAAGTAAGAACAACGTGAGTGCTCAGAAAGGAAGCTAAGAGTCACTGAGAAGAATCTTATTCTGATATATGAGTTGGGTGCCATTCAGCACCAGTGTTGCAGTATAATGTGTCAGTCACTCCATTCATTCATGGGACATCTCAGCAGCATTTATTGTCCATCCCTATTTGCCCAAAGGGCAGTTAAGACTCAACCACATTGCTGTGGGTCTGGAGGCCAGACCAGGTAAGGATGGCAGCTTCCTTCCTTAAAGGGCATTAGTGAACCTAATGGTTTTTCTCCCCTGATGATTGTTGATGGATTCATGGTCATCATTAGACTCATTTATTGGATTAAAATTCCACCAGCTGCAGTGGCGGGATTCAAACCCGGGTCCCCAGAACATTATCTGGGTCTCTGCATGAACAGTCCAACGATAATACCACCATGCCATCCTTTCCCCCCCCACTATGCCATGATGATATGGGGATGCTGGTGTTTTGCTGATGCCAACCTCTGCAGAGAGAAGATGCAGGGGGTCCCCACCATTGGAATGTGCCTCGATTTTCGGGGATTTCTGATCAAGATGGAGGCCTGCAGGAGAAAGCAGAAAAAGCTGCAGGTATCTGCTCGGAGTGTCACATTAGAATCATCACTGCCTAGTTTTACCCCTCTGCCTGGGCAAACAGCAAACAGTGTATAACAGAGGTGAGACAAGGTTGTACTGAGATATCAATGCATACAAACAGTCAAATCACCCCCAATTCACAAGCAAGATTTTCATCCAACCATTAAAAACTTTCAGTTGAAAATGCAATTTTTTTTATCATAACGCCCAGAATCTCAATGTTCCATTCTCGCCATATTTCCCCAATTGACTCACCATTACCCACTTCATTCAGAACATGGGAATTTTTTTTCTAGCCCATTCATAGGATGTGGCTATCGCTGGCTGGGACAACAGTCATTTTGCTTCTTTCATTGCCCTTGAGGAGGTGGGGGTGAGCTGCCTTCTTGAACCGCTGCAGTCCATGTGCCATGGGTTGACCCACAATGCTGTCAGGGGAAGAGTTCCCTGATTTTGACTCAACGACACTGTAAGAACCGTGGGAGACAGTAGGAACTGCCGATGCTGGAGAATCTGAGATAACAAGGTGTAGAGCTGGATGAACACAGCAGGCCAGGCAGCATCAGAGGAGCAGGAAA